AGGGGGGGTAAAACGAGATCCACGCGTACGAAGTCGCGGGCGGCCGCTAGTACTGAATAAACTACAATATGCAAACACAGTTGGCCACCTAATTTCTAAATTAAAAGGCTTAACATATTATTTTATCTATATGGATCGTATTTTATTGGAGCCTTTGTGCATTAACTGTCTATTGTTATCGGCGGATTAAAATTATGGTCCGATAAATTTTGCATTCGGTTGCATCAGATAGTACGAGAACCAATATCTCTAGTCCCTTGCTGACAAAATCTAAAATAGTAACTTTTATATAATAATATGTAAAAAATCCTAAGTGCGTTTAGGCATTTGAAACAAAAACATGATACTTATTGCTCTCTCTTGCTCGCTCTTGGAATCTCTTCAATGAATGCTTTAACGACGGTGTAGATAGAAATCCGTGGAACACAATTTCTGACTTCGGGACTTTATTTAGACTAGTTAGGAGGTGAACATAGCAAAAGTCCCCGCCCTTAGCCCTTGAGCCGGCAGGATGAGGGGGGTTTAAAGGTACCACTTTTCGGTTTTTCGCTTAATTCTCGGAAACTATGCGTCCTAGAGACATGACTACTATGAACCAAAAAAAGCTTATTCAATTTGCTACAGGTGAGACAATCAAGTTTTTCTATACCTTTTATAGTTTTCACGGCATCTGCTCTAGAAGGTCTGTAATATTGGAAATTTTGTTTTTGTCTTACATGATCCCATCAGGAGAAAATCGACTAAATCAACATTAAGCCAACATTTTAGACATGCGGGAGCACGTTAAGCCTAGTTCCAGGGAGGGGACTGCACCGTGCGTATATTTAGACGACCCAATTGGAGCCACTTTTGACTCCTCATCACTCAAAAACTACTGTGCATTAACACTTCAAATTTGGCTCATGTGTTGAGACTTGCAAGATAAACATCAGCTTCAAATTTCATAAATATACCTCAAACAGTTATTTAGGTATTGACGTTCAAAAATCGACATTTAGAACACTAAAATCTATCTATCACCTGTGAAAAGTTAAAATTTACTGGTTTTTTATTTGTTCCTTTGTATTTACAAATCTACCTATCTGGATGCCAAATTTGAACCTTCAAGGTCATCTGGAAGTTGTTAGAATTTGGTCTATAGGTCAGATATGTAGATTTTAGGACGTCAATACCTAAATAACCGTTTGAGGTATATTTATGAAATTAGAAGCTGATGTTTATCTTGCAAGTCTCAACACATGTGCCAAATTTGAAGTGTTAATGCACAGTAATTTTTGAGTAATGAGGAGTCAAAAGTGGCTCCAATTGGGTCGTCTAAATATACGCACGGTGCAGTCCCCTCCCTGGAACTAGGCTTAACGTGCTCCCGCATGTCTAAAATGTTGGCTTAATGTTGATTTAGTCGATTTTCTCCTGATGGGAACATGTAAGACAAAAACAAAATTTCCAATATTACAGACCTTCTAGAGCAGATGCCGTGAAAACTATAAAAGGTATAGAAAAACTTGACTGTCTCACCTGTAGCAAATTGAATAAGCTTTTTTTGGTTCATAGTAGTCATGTCTCTAGGACGCATAGTTTCCGAGAATTAAGCGAAAAACCGAAAAGTGGTACCTTTAAACCCCCCTCACCCTGCCGGCTCAAGGGCTAAGGGCGGGGACTTTTGCTATGTTCACCTCCTAACTAGTCTAAATAAAGTCCCGAAGTCAGAAATTGTGTTCCACGGATTTCCATCTATAATGCTTTATTGACTGGACTATGGTGTGAATTACTGGAACTTGACGATATACCTACTTGACTAGATATTGAATATTTCGTTGCCGGTGAATCTATTCATCATGGAGCGACGAAAAACGAACGGTGCAATGAAGGTGTCAAGCTGGCTGATCCGAGGAACGCGGGTTCGATCCCCGCCGCTGCTCAACTATTCTGATAACTCGTAACACAAGTATATAATTTAGTAAGCTCGTGGTAAATCACGAGGAGTTAACGGGATTATTAGTAGTATGCATTTACAAATTGCTAATATTCCTTAAAAAATCATTTCAGCCATAGGACGTCCACAGCTGGACAAAGTCCTCTCCCAAGGATTTCCACCACGACTGGTCTTGTGCATCCCGGTGCTTCCAGTGACCTTCACTAGATCGTCGGTCCACCGAGTGAGATCTGCCCTACGTTTGCCGGTCCGTGGTTGCCACTCAAGAACTTTTCTGCCCCTGCCTACGAGCAATGTGCTTTTCCCACGTCACTTCAGTTTGCCTTATGTAGAGGGTAGGTATATCGAAAATTCGAGTTCTACATTATAAAGGAATAGATGTTTTGGACACAACTGATCCTGTATTTCTTTTGTCAAGTTAATATACAGAATCAAACCATAGATAATGACTATAGGATTAAGTTTTCTAAAATCATAATCCGCCACACATGTAAAACTCACTCGCCTTCGAGAATTGCAACAACTATAAGGCTGAGTTGCACCACCTTTTTACCGTAACATTAACAATAACCGGTGCTTTTTTTGTATAGAGATTTTTGACATTTGTCAAAGTTAAAGTAAGATGGTGCAACCAAGCCTAAGTAATTTGTATTTTTATAATACTGGAAGTTTGAAGAAACCTGATAAGAGGATTGAATGATCAAATTCCATGAAATGTTATGTTAGGTATTCTAATAACAATGCTATTTTCCATAATATATTTTAATGAACGCCATTCCCATTCATTCCAAGTCTACCCGCATTTCTGGCTGTATGGTTATCGATGGGTGTTGCATACAAAACATGACCTTTGAACTAAATTGTGAAATACATACACAAAACTATTTGTTGATATAATATTAAAATCAATCAAGGTTAGATTAATATTTTTTAAAGTTATCATAATAAGTAACATAAAAGTTCAGATGATTACAAAATTATTTACAGTGTTGGTGAAACTGCAAAATTAAATAATTTTGTAAGCAATAATAATTGCAAAAAAAGCCAGTGATAATAATGATTTTACTCGGATTGACTGACGTCAGATTACAACATCTCGCTTAGAAGGAGTACAGTCACTCACTTGATTTATTCAATGTCTCACTCATTCAAGTACAATAAATTACTCACTCGCTAGTTCACTTTATTAAGATTCGAGTGTCAAAATGGTCAGTCGCTATCCAATCTCCACTGTGATCAGACGTGTCGAGGTAAAGTTTGTGAAGTGAATTGTGTTAAGTAAAGCTGGAATGCTGCTCGAGTAAGACCAGGTTAGTACCTAATACTTATTTATATTTTGAGATGTTCAAAAAGTAATGATAATGGGATATTTCTTGCCATCACAAAAATTTGAAAAAAATTGAGTAAGCTTAACTCTTCACTAGAAACTGGTTAAAAATAATTTAAGTAAGTAAGTACACCGTTGCATTTAAGAATTACAGTCACCCGAACACGACCAGTCGGAAAGTCCTTGTTTTCTGTGGCCAACGCACCTGTATACAACCCTGAAGTTGCGGTGGGTGCCAAAAAATTGGGCCTTAAATTGCTCAAAAACACCTTTTATATTCTCGATCTGACTCTTAGCTACGTGTAGGTTAACCTACAGTTCTTTTTCCGACGTAAAAAGTAGTTAAGGGACCGAAATTGTCGAGACACTGCCCTCTTTAGGCCTTTTTGGAGAGTCAAGAAAAACTTTTTCTGTATACAGATTAATAGTCTAGAGAAAAGATGGTTGGTTATGTGTTTTGTTTAGATGAGATAGCATGTTAATAAATCAAAAGATTTTTAGTCATAAACATTTTCTTTGGTAGGTATCCATTATCATTACTTTGAACACCCCTCGTATTAAAAAAAAAGTTTTTCTTTAAGTTTATTTAAAGGCCTTTCAAATGACACCAATATTAGTATAGTATGTTTGTGTTACACGACAAGACTAGATTATTATCGCGGGAGGTGTGAATTTTTGACTTCGAGTGTAGTTTTCATAATACTAATCAAATTTATTTTTCTTGCTTAATCCTATGAGACACCTTATTTATGTGAAGTGAGTACGGTCTCCTTAGGGAAATCATAAGCAAAAAGCCTAAACTTGCTATGAAATCTGCCTGAAAAGAAATTCAGATTGAGATAAATGAATAAAATGTAATTAAAATGTACAATTATACTAAGTATGCGATTGTTAGTAGGGTACTTATTAAAATTATTACTTTTAATAGTTACTATAATTATTAGTACATAGTTACAAATACACAAAGAAAGTGTTTTTGTAACATAAGTTACCTACCTACATTTAGGTACCTAAGTTACGTATTTAACAAGTGGAAAGCTACTTTCACTGCTAGTACCAGATGGGGTCTGAAAACTATGAAAAAAGGACGATTCGCGTTTATTTTTAAACAATATTTTACTAATAAAAAATGTTTTATTACGTCTAAAAAATAAAATTATAACATTTAATATAATTTAAAACTTTGTGTCAGGGACACAAAGTATTTTATAAAAATACGTATTTTATTAATAAAATAATAAGACTACGTTTTTGCGCCATCTAGCATTGGTTCTTAGTACTACAACAGTAAGTTGCGGAGATGGGAAAACAGGCGCAGGTTGGTTTTTGGTTTCAAACGTTTGTACTAGATGGCGTTACCTTATTCAAGCATGTCAATGAAACGTAAGAAGACAAAACAGTTCAAATGGGACAACATAGATGACGCTTGTTTTATTATTTTCAAACTCCAAGTCTGAGTGTGACTGCGGGATTTCTTGGCGGGAAGTGAAACGTTAATTTGGCAATTGAAGGCTGGGTTGCACCATCTTACTTTAACTGAGATAAACGTCAAATATCGACCAAACTCCATACAAAAACACCGGTTATCGTCATAGTTACGGTCAAATTTGGGTGGTGCAACTCAGCCTTATACTATTGTGATTAGCTAAATTATTAAAATTATTATTGGTAACTTATTCTCTTAAAATTGAAACTCATAATTTTAATTTCCAAAATAACTTTTACTGTTTATTCATATTTTATGTAGAAGAACTTTAAAGATTATTGATAAATAAATACTTGACACTAGTTAAGATAATTATGCAAACTGCACGAAGACATAACGAAACGCGGGTATCGAACAGTTTAGTCACAATTATGATTATTTTTTAGTTTTTCACTAGATTTTTTCACTCATCCAAAGCACAATTCACGTAGTTCCAAGTAGAAGCTCTGCGACTCTTTGCGGATATCTTTTATACGAAAGTCAATAATTGGCAGACGGCGAGCAATTTTGCTCTTGATCATAATATCCGAGTGTTTCCATTCCGTTTTGGGGGCATCAGGCTGAAAAAAAATGTTTTTTGTAATATTATCATTTCATCATCATCATAATCATCATCATCATCTCAGCCATAGGATGTCCAATGCTGAACATGGGCCTCCCCAAATGCTTTCCATGTTGCTCGGTTGGTAGCGGCCTGCGTTGATCGCCTTCCTGCTACCTTTAAGATGTCGTCGGTCCACCGAATTTTTTAAATATTAATTTAGGTACTTAGAAGGTTTTGCTAAATAGAAATTTTAGCAGTTCTAGAGCATAGATTAATAAAGCCTAGATAGATAATAAGCGCAAGAAAAACAGGCAACTTCCGCTTTAAACTTTATTGTTTTATTTAAAACTAGCTTTCCGCCCGCGGCTTCGCCCGCGTGGAATTTTGTCTGTCACAGAAAAACTTTATCGCGCGCGTCCCTGTTTCAAAAACCGGGATAAAAACTATCCTATGTTCTTTCCCGGGACTCAAACTATCTCTATGCCAAATTTCATCAAAAACGGTTGCGAGGTTTAAGCGGGAAAGCGTAACAGACAGACAGACAGACAGACAGACAGAGTTACTTTCGCATTTATAATATTAGTTGGGATGTCTTACCTATTAAATAATTTTATTAAGGTAAATGTGGATAAAAATATCTCATTATCGAAAAAAGCGCCTTAATAATTATACTACTAATTATAAAGGTGAAAGTTTGTGTGGATGTTTGTTACTCTTTCACGCAAAAACTACTTGAAACTTTACAGTATTATTATTTTGTAACCCACATTAACATATAGGCTATAATTTATGCGATTCTGTGGCACTAAATGTCACGTGAAGCCGCGGGCAAAAGCTAGTTTATAATAATTTATAGATTCTCACTTTTGACGAAGCGTTTGTATGAAGACTATCCATAATATCCATCTAGGCTTTATTAATCTAAGTTCTAGAGATAAAATGAAAAAAAAACTGCTTGAATGTTGAACAGACATCACAAAGCCATCATAATAATTATATATTGAATCAAAAATAACGTCTAATGAGCTGTTGACTGAAAACTGTATTTTCTTTCATAAATTTGATAATTAATTTAGTGCTATTTTTTACTTACCGTACATTCATGATTATCATTTAGGAAAGCGTATGTCAAGGGGCTGTAATCAGTCGTTTCATGGCCTATAGTAATATCGTTCCAACCCTTTAAAACTAAAGCTGTCCCAGGTTGGTCAATGACGTATGAATTTTTGCAATGATATCTTATTACTTGCTTTACTTGCGTAGATCTCTTTTGTAACCAAGCGATACGGTCCATAGACACCTGAAATAAATGAAAAATTACATTGAAAATTATTTGAAGGCGAATAATTATTTGTACGGCCTACTAAATGAGAGTATAAAATAACCTCTCTTACCGCCTCTGGACGTGCTTTGCGACTTTCTTGTTTTTTTTGAATTCCCAGAGCCAGAGATCGCGGGTTCGATTGTAAATAAAGTATTATTATTAATCTAAAATCGTATTCGGCGGGGGGCGAAATGTTACTGTATGGAATACTCATATGGGCAGCGTGAGACGTCCACCCACAAGGTGGACCGACGATATCATAGAGGTAGCAGGGAAGCGCTGGACGCAGGCCGCCACCAATCGATCAACATGGAAAGCATTGGGGGAGGCCTTTGTTCAGCAGTGGACGTCCTGGCTGAAATGATGATAATGATGTTGATGATGATGATATTACGTCATTACTTACATTATAAAATTTCTTCAAATCAAAATTTCTTTTACTTAGCCAAAACGGTTCGGTTTCATTAACAACGTATTTGTCGTGTTCTGTTGTCGGTGATAAGGGGAGACACGTCATATGATTGACCTTGTCACATTTTACTTGAAATCTGTCTTCAGGTCGCACCCAAATTGTATCTAAAAATATAATCAGAATCAATAACTTACGTTTTTTGGTCATAAAGGGTCCTTTTCCACGGCATGCAATCCAGTTTTGCCAGATTATGTAATTCAGGACTGAGGCCTGAGCGTGAGTTTACATAAGTCGTCACTGAGCGCGTAAAAAATGTCATTAAATGTATGAAGGATTGTACAGCGCTCCTAGCGGGTTTCAAGAACTAAGTTTTTTATATATTTTTTTAACGCACTCACTAGTGTGGACGTTTGATATAAACTCACACTAAGCCCTCTGTTGTGTCGTGTCGTTAGTTACAACCTGTGTTACAACTGTGTTTAACACTCGTATTTACAACGATGCTTGCTTATGTGAAGCAGCAAATCGAACGTTGAATAGAGTTCTGTGATTGGTTCGTGTGTGATCCTGTGCGTCCACGCGCACTGTGAGACCTCATAGTATACGGGCGTAAAAACGGGATGTTGGTGTGAATTTTATTATTAAAAGTTTGCAGAAACTGTAAAAGATGTTGCTGTGGGAAAGAGCCCGAAAATATAAACTTTATAAACTAGCGATTGCCCGCGACTTCAAGTCTTCAAATTACAGTCAAGTCAAAGTCGAAATTTCTTTATTTGTATATGTTTGTGAAATTGTGAACTCTGTCAGTTTATAATATGACGCGTTAGATTATAAACTAACAGTGGGTTAGGTAGGGTAGAAAAAAAAAGATTAGATTGTAATTTAACTACGTCAGATTATAATCTGACGGAATTCACAATTTTACGGTGACTTATAGACTAAGAACTAGTAACAAATCGTCAAATATTTTACACCTTCGTACGCGTGGACCTCGTTTTACCCCCGTAGGGATTGAATTTTGCAAAATCCCGTCTTTGTGAGCACCTACGTTCTAAAAGGAACCCCCATGCAATATTTGAGACTTCTAGCACTTGTAGTCTCTGAGATTTCGTGATGAGTGAGTGAGTCAGTCAGTGACCTTTCGCCTTTATTATAGGTAGATACTCAACATGATTATGTTTACCACCTGCATTTTAGTTCACCATGCAATAATGCTGTTGCTATCATTTTACGCAATATTATGGTCTCACCTCCAATACTCTTAGTGCCCCCTTCTATTGGATCAATAATTGTATGACACAAATTATTAGCTGGTTGGTATTCAGTGCCTATACCATTTTTGCCCTCAGGCCCTTTTCCCAAAGAAGGTTCTGAAAAATGAAAGTGATAGCCGTCAAATTCTTGAATTAAACTTATAATACTTTCTTACTACATAGCTCGCAGAATTGCTAAAATCAAGTGGCAGTGGGCAGGACACATAGCTCGTAGAGACGATGGCCGTTGGGGCAGGAAAGTTCTCGAACCTCGGGCTGGAAGACGTAGCGAGGGCAGGCCTCCTACTAGGTGGACCGACGATCTGGTAAAGGTCGGGAGAAGAGCCTAGATGCATTCATTGTGGAAAACCTTGGGGGAGGCCTTTGTCCAGCTGTGGACGTCATTTATTTTGGCTGAAACGAAAGAACGAACTATTAAGTATAATATACTTTTAAATTACCAGGATAAGGGTAAGGACAACGTTCTGGGCACTTCCCATCCAGTCCAGGATTTCCAGATGGGCCTATGCTGCCCTGTAAAATAAATATTAGATAAATTAGGTTGGTTGATCCTACTATCCTACTAATATTATAAATGCGAAAGTTTGTATGGATGTCTGGAGGTCTGGATGTCAACATGTTTGTTACTCTTTCACGCAAAAACTACTGAACGGGTTTTGATGAAACTTTACAGTATTATTGTTTATAGCCCAGAATAACATAACATAGGCTATAATTATGACGATGTGACAAACTAAATTTCACGTGGGTGAAGCCGCGGGCAAAAGCTAGTTCAAATAAAAGATTTCCATAATTATGTGTGGGTTCACATACAAAGTAAGCACCGAATATTGGTAATGTTCAGTTCTTTTTTTGAATCCCNTTTTGATGAAACTTTACAGGATTATTGTTTATAGCCCAGAATAACATAACATAGGCTATAATTATGACGATGTGACAAACTAAATTTCACGTGGGTGAAGCCGCGGGCAAAAGCTAGTTCAAATAAAAGATTTCCATAATTATGTGTGGGTTCACATACAAAGTAAGCACCGAATATTGGTAATGTTCAGTTCTTTTTTTGAATCCCAACTAATATTATAAATGCGAAAGTAACTCTGTCTGTCTGTCTGTCTGTCTGTCTGTCTGTCTGTCTGTTACGCTTTCCCGCTTAAACCTCGCAACCGATTTTGATGAAATTTGGCATAGAGATAGTTTGAGTCCCGGGAAAGAACATAGGATAGTTTTTATCCCGGTTTTTGAAACAGGGACGCGCGCGATAAAGTTTTTCTGTGACAGACAAAAATCCACGCGGGCGAAGCCGCGGGCGGAAAGCTAGTATTCCTATAATTTTGTCTCCCGCTATTATTTCATTTTATTTTTGTTTCAAATTAACATAATTATCAGCACGTACCGTCCAGCGTGAAATAGTTCATGACACCCAAAGTGATCAAAAAGTTGATAACACAACGATATTCTAAGTGCCTTTTCACACGTCCCGGTTGCCGGCTAACCGACGCCGGGTACCCTGTCGTGAAGTGTATGGGCATGCCGGATTAATTACGCCGGAACATGTGAAAGCTACGCACCATGCCCATACACTTCACCACCGGATACCCGGCGCCGGTTAGCCGGTAACCGGGACGTGTGAAAAGGGCCATATTGTAACAAAGAATTGCTGCGATCTTTTTGGCTACTTTGGGTGTCACGAACTATTTGACATACTAAATAAATACCTATTTTAATTAGTAATCACAAGGAAGGCGCTGGACGCAGGCCGCTACCAGCCGGGCAACATGGAAAGCATTGGGGGAGTCCTATGGCTGAGATGATGATGATGATGAGTCACAAAAAATAGGGATGGCAGCGGAGATTGTATAATTGTATTTTTTGGTATTAGGCATGTGATATTTGTCACCATTAAAGTTGACATATGCGTGCCCAAACACTGTAAAGACAATAAATAGGTACATACCGGCTCTCCTTTCAGACCAATCGGCCCATCAAGACCCTGGAAGGAAATAATAAACTTCTTTAAATCTATAACTAAGTTGACACAATGACTAATAATTTCAGGATACGACTTTTGTAATTTCATTAAAAAAATGGAAAAAGATTTTTGCAAGTAGGATTATAAAAATCACTTGACATTCGCATTCGCAGTGCCGTCCAACTATTCGTATTTCATTACGCCATACACTTCATTAATCTGGGTCGATGGGTGTAATGTGTAGTGTAAGATTACGTGTAATGTAACACGAATTCTACGTGTGAACGGCACTACGAGCATTACATGTAAAGTGCCGCCCATACTATTTCTATTTCGATACATTTTATACGCGTTACACCCGTCTGGACCCTGCTTTACGAATTGCTTACATATTTTCTGAACCCAGCATATTGTGATACTAGCAATTTGTAGATTAAAATAGTAAAATTAAAAAACTTACAGTATCACCCTTCTCTCCTTTTGTACCATTTACACCTGGTAGTCCATTTCGTCCTGGTGGTCCCTGTGTAAAAAAATAATTATTTAGTTTCCCACTACTTTAATGTGCCATGTTGCCAACTTTAAATACGCCAAGAAAAGTCTTAAAATGTAAAGTAAACACTTAAGGCCCCTCGCCCACGGCGACTTTTTGTAGTGATGCTGTCACGCGTTTCGTAGGTAAACCAACGACAGCAACGCTACTAACGCGCGTTAGTCACAATTGCATCGCGCTACAGAAGTTGTTGATGAGCACCTTCATGCTGTATAACGTAGAGCTGGCTAGCTGGAACCGCTATGATAGAACTGTCATTTATATTCAAATGTGATGTTGTCTTTAGCTGTGTAATGGCTGTGCCGAACTCTCTATTGTAAATATTCTACGTGTGCTTTGATACCAATATATTTATTATGTTACTACCAACCACTGTTTTTATTGCTCTGTAGCGGACTTAATATATCCCTAACAAGGGTTATGGGCCCAGTGCCCCAGAGCAAAGTAACATTTTAAAATAGTTTGTCGTGAAAATAATTTCGTATAAAGTGACGTGAACAGAATGTCGAATGTACGTATTGAGTTATTGAGAAAAGACAACTATGATAGTTGGAAAGTGCAAGTAGAAGCCCTATTGATCAGAAATGATTTTTGGGAATATGTAAGTGGAGAAAAGTCAAAACCCACGGATGAGACATTATCAACAGCATGGGATTTTGCTGACAGAAAGGCAAGATCGGAGTTGATTTTATCATTGGATCCGAGTGTTGTTCATCATGTGAAAAGATTGAAGACTGCACGAGAGGTTTGGCTGAAATTAGAGAGTCTGTTCGTATCACGTGGACCTGCGAAAAAAGCGACCCTGATGAAAAGGCTCATGCTACACAAGATGAGTGAGGATCAGAACGTATGCGAACATCTTGATTTATTTTTTGAAGCTGTCGATAAGTTAGAAGAAATGGACATCGTGATCCATGATGATCTTTTAGCGATTATGTTGCTGTATAGTTTACCAGCAAGCTATGAGAACTTCAGATGCGCCATTGAAAGTAGAGACGAGCTGCCAAAGCCTGAACAACTTAGGGTGAAAATTATCGAAGAATACAGTTCGAGAGGCAATACCCAAGTTGAGAGGATAGAAGGAGCTATGTATATAAATAAACATCAGAAGAAGAATGGGACTGGACCTGAAACAAAATTTAAGTATAAATGTTTCAAATGTCATAACTTTGGACATAAGGCATCCGATTGCAAGAAAAAGAAGTCTTCTCAGGCTTCAGAACGGTATTTCTTTATAAGGGATGTGCTGCGTGACAATAAGTCGATAACTTTAGAACATTTGGCAACTGAAAATATGCTGGCAGATATTTTCACCAAACCTTTGCCTCGTATAAGGCATCACTTGCTGAGTAAAGGGTTAGGGTTGCGCGTACTCTAGTGCCTTGTATAAAGCATGAGTTGAGGGGGTGTGTTGATGAGCACCTTCATGCTGTATAACGTAGAGCTGGCTAGCTGGAACCGCTATGATAGAACTGTCATTTATATTCAAATGTGATGTTGTCTTTAGCTGTGTAATGGCTGTGCCGAACTCTCTATTGTAAATATTCTACGTGTGCTTTGATACCAATATATTTATTATGTTACTACCAACCACTGTTTTTATTGCTCTGTAGCGGACTTAATATATCCCTAACAGAAGTGATGCCAACGCGCTACTCAGGACTTTGGTTGGTCCAACACCGCGGTGGGCAACCCTCTAGTTGGGTTCGCCACTGATCGGGCGCCTTAATGCGCTCGATACGGCCCGGTCGCGAACGTCGGCACGCGCACCGACGATCGCCAAACGGCTAGAGTACCTTCTGTACTCGCCACTCTGCCCTGTGAAAAAAAAATAAACAAAAAAAAGCGCTACAGCAGCGCGACTGTATCGATGCAAACGCGCGACCGTGTCGGGCGACATCGGGGAGAGAACGGAGGGAGGGTTACTGACTCGCGTTTGCATCGCGACAGTATCGCGTTTGCATCACGATTGACGTATCGATGCGAACGCGCTACAGAATCGCTACTGTATCGCTACAAACCCAAATTCCCAACCCAAAAATGGGTAATCGCCGTGGGCGAGGGGCCTAAAAAGTAGGTACGTTATACGTTACGTTACGCATACGTTTCAGCCAAATGATGTCCACTGCTGGACAAAGGCCTCCCCCAAGGTTTTCCACAATGAACGGTCCTGCGCTGCCCGCATCCAGGCTCTTCCCGCGACCTTTACCAGATCGTCTGTCCACCTAGTAGAAGGCCTGCCCACGCTACGTCTTCCAGCCCGTGGTCGCCACTCGAGAACTATCCTGCCCCAACGGCCATCGTCTCTACGAGCTATGTGCCCCGCCCACTGCCACTTGATTTTAGCAATTCTGCGAGCTATGTCGGTTACTTTGGTTCTCCTGCGGATCTCCTCATTTCTGATTTGATCACGCAGGGAAACTCCGAGCATAGCCCGCTCCATCGCCCTTTGGGTGACCTTGAGCCTTCTTATGAGGCCCATAGTAAGCGACCACGTCTCAGATCCGTATACCATCACTGGCAACACGCATTGGTTAAATACTTTCGACTTGAGACACTGCGGTATTTCGGACGTGAGTATATGGCGAAGCTTCCCGAACGAAAAAGTAGGTACTTACTTTTAATCCTCGCATTCCAGCGAGTCCTTGCTCGCCCTGTTCGCCTGTGTCTCCCTGAACAATATTGCAAACGGATTAAAAATCCATAATACAAATTAAATTATAATTTATACAGCTAAAAAGTTTGTTTGTTTGTTTTTTGAAGGTTGAAAGTGCGAAAGTGCTTGTAGTAGCCATTGAATTTAGAAAAAAAGAAATTAATTCGTTTTCTGTAAGTAGGCTTTTAAATTTTAATTCAAATAGTTTATTCAGTACCTAGGCTCTTTTTAGGGCACTTAGAAACTACTTACATAAAAAAATACTGACTTTGCTTTATATGTATATTAATGTTCATTCTGTTTCAATTTGTGCTGAAGAATTTACGCACCTTTTCGCCTTTTTGTCCGATAATTTTCCAATCTTTTATATCTCTCTGAAAAATAAGGTTAGCATTTTAAAAAAAGAAACATCATACAGCGCCTCATTTAATATTGACCAATAGGGGTCTAGACTATTTTTTGGATATATTTTTTTACAGATGTACATTTATATTACACCTAAAAATATATATATAAAAAATAAATACACTCTTACATTTAAAAACTACTTATTTTTCGTTTTAACATTTCCTGGTAAAACGCTAAAGTTCTGTCATGGCGTCGTTATGACGTCACGATCCTCCAAACAACCACATTGCTTCATAGTAAGCAGATTAAGTAAGCAGTTTACATCAAAATGTCACTGTCACATACTGTTTAGAAGATCGTGACGTCACATGCTATGATTGATGTTTGCGATCACGTGATATTACGGATTAAATATTTACTTTTTATTCATTTAAATAAAAAATATAATAAAATAAGAATATGACATTTTTGGTCATTCTATAATATAAACTCTCAGAAAAACAATAATAGAATAAGGGTGTACCCCTATTCTCTAACACGTTCCAAATTGTCTTAGAACAGCTCTTGATAAACATACGGTTTATTTATAAATTTCAATCAAAATATTAATAGAATTTACTACATCACGTTACTATCTCCAATTTACCACGAACATTTGAAAATTCGTCACTCCTATTATTATTATTAATTAATTAATTACATCAAAGAAAGAGGATAAAATACTGAAATAACTTACCGCATCTAATTTACACGAGCCTGTAATAGATTAAGAATAATAATATACAATTAGTTGCCACAATGTTATTATCAAATAATGAACAAAATAAAATATTTATATTTTACCTACTATGTGTCACACATTTATATTTTACTAGCGGCCACCCGCAACTTCGTACGCGAAAATCCCGTTTTACCCCCTTAGGGGTGGAGTTTCGTAAAATCCTATAGCGGATGCCTACGTCATAACATCTACCTGCTTGCCAAACTTCAACTCGATCCTTCCAGTGGTTTGGGCTGTGCGTTGATAGATCACTATGTCAGTCAATCAGTCAGTCACCTTCGAGTTATTTATATATTTAGATATTATTAGGTATCAATAACAATTGAATAATAAAAAACTTGTAGCATAGCATAGAGAAAATACTTATATTTTACCTATTTTGACAGGATGCATTTTGCCTCCATCGAAAATTTCCTGAAAGAAAATTTTACTGTGCATGTTAATTGAGTGATTTATTTTTTTGTATTATGTAAAATAAAATATTATTATAAAGCTTAATTTTTGTAAATTGGTGTAAATGTTGATGGGCCTTTTGCTAACAATAATATGTCCAATGTTTTTGACGTAAATTACAAAGGTTGTAATTGTTGTAAAGGACACACTGGTAAAACAGTTTTTTTTTTATAAATTGGTGATTTATTAATTAGTATCTGTTCTTCTCAGCAAAACTTACCGCTACAGTACTTCCATGGGGGAATTCAGCAGTTTTGCAAATACCTGTGGATATAATTTTTTTATATTTATAGTAGGTAGAATAACAATATACATGTATGATAATTAAAAAATTGCTATAGTCTAATTTTCAATAATACTGTAAAGTTTCATCAAAATCCGTTCAATAGCTTATTTTGCGTGAAAGAGTAACAAACATAAATACATTCTCAATTCTTGATAAAAACTGTAATAAGTTTAACATGTTACACTTATAGTTTCATCATACATAAAATAGTCCCCTCCCCCCCCCTTCCTTGCAATCGCATTGCCACCTGATTTTAAAACTTGCATCAATGACTGATTTATATTTAAAAAAAAAATATTTACTGTTTACGTAGGTACTAGGTTTAATTTTTTTTACTTCCTTTCTTAAAAATAATCAAGACATGTCATTACAAAAAACTTACCAACTGTCAATATTACAATGAACACACTCAATAATATATTTGCGTCCATAATGATGGTCACTTTTGTACTCAATAATAACAACTGAAGCGCACCAGATTGTTCAACATAATATACATACGATTAATGTAACTATTTTCCTTAAATGATATTGAAATAGATATTTTCCTGATGATGATGAACATGCAAGCTCCTATTTTTGCCACTAAAGGTGTGGTTACACAGACTGAATGAAAATGGAATTCCCCATTGTAAAGCAGTTTTCATTTTAGTATTGTACTTTATTTAGATACTTCCCGTGAATTTAATCTGCATTTATTTTTATATCGTCAACAAGCCAACAACATCACCTTTCATTACTAACAAAAAATAATAACATCTGGTTTCATGTTATGTGCTTTAAGCATAATTTATCATTTATTTGTCTTTAAGCATTATCAGGCAACTTGGAGTCGCTTCTATGTTTTTTTAGTACATAGCTACAGTTCGTTTGCGCTTCATAGGTACACGTGAAACACCCGCACTCCTGCGTTGTCGCTTAAGGGTAGCCTTTTGAACTAAGCGTCACAGATGCAGCGTCTTTAGCTTGTGCCACCAACGCCGCGTCACTAACTCGCTTCGAAAGGCTACCTTTAGGCCTCAGCCTCGAACTTAGCGGGCAGCGGGGCGGCGGCGGCGGCGGCGCGGGAGCGGGGCGGGCAACGCAGACCCGTTCTCGAAATAAGCGGGCAGCTCGCGCGGCGCTTTAGCGGCGAAGTGTTGTGTTCGGGGTTGTGTTGTCGAGATATTTTCTTTTTATTCGCAAACGAAATGTCTGAACACACACGGCGACAATTTTATTTCGATTCAAATTTATTCCTAACGCTCGATTTATTGTGGGCAAAAGAAGGAGTGCGCTGCCCGCTCGTTACCCGCTCCCTCGCCGCTGCCCGCTCGTTGCCCGCTCCGGCGCCGCTGCCGCGCCGCTGTTTTCGAGAACCGGTCTATTTGATTTCACGCGTAAGATCCTGCCGCTGCCGCGCCGCCGCCGCTCCCGCCCCGCTGCCCGCTAAGTTCGAGGCTGAGGCCTTAAAGACCAAAGCTAAAGGCGATGCGTCTGTGACGCTTAGATCGAAAGGGCTACCTTTGAGGTTCAATCACACAACGCCGCGTGCAAATTGCCATCGCCTGCCAGGTCGCGCGACCTGTCATTGGCCTATGATCGCGCCGGCGTTATGGCGTTCTGCACGCGTTGGTGTGGTTGAAGCTATAAAGATTCAATCATACTGATCGCCATTGCCATCGCGCACGCAGGCTGCACGGCGTGCAAACAACGCGTGCGGCACGCGTTGTTTTGACCGAATCTTTACATTACTTTGCCCTGTGAAGCGATCTTGAAATCCAATCTATCATGAAAGCTATTTTGTGTAGGAATGCATATTATTATGAGGGTTTGTCTTCTGGCTAACCTTTATTCTATTGAACATATTGTAAAGACTAAGTAGATACTTAGTTGCCTTTCGTTTCATTTACCTAAGTATTTACTTACAAATTGGGCAAAAAAATACCAATAAGCCATTTACAAATTTTATTTAACATTTAACCAAAACAGAGCTCGGTTAGCTCCAAAAAGAATCTTTGGTCTTCTCTTCTGACGTCTGATATACGGAAGTCAGTAACTGGAAGCCGTTTCGAGCTACCTGTCATAACAATTTCTGTGTAACCCCATTCCGTCTTGGGCGCTTCTTCCTGGAAACAAAAGTATAAGGTTAAATGATAATGCGGTGATAACACAACGGTTTCGGCATCAGACTGCGGAGTCAAGATAATTATAATATGTATAGTTAGACAAACCACATCAACCGCTAGACTAAACACACTCTTAACACAAGCTTTTATTTATAACTGAGTTTCTTCAGCCACTTCTCAGCACCAGCCCTGATAAAGTATTTGGATTTGAATCACGGTCTATCATTATCATCATCATCATCATCATTTCAGCCAATGATGAACATAGGTCTCCTCCAATGATTTCCATAACGACCGGTTGGAAGCGGCCAGCATCCAGTGCCTTCCTGTTACCTTTCTGAGGCCGTCGGTTCACCTTGGTCTATTATTCGTTCGTTCGTTCGTTCGTTTCAGCCAAATGACGTCCACTGCTGGACAAAGGCCTCCCCCAAGGTTTTCCACAATGAACGGTCCTGCGCTGCCCGCATCCAGGCTCTTCCCGCGACCTTTACCAGATCGTCGGTCCACCTAGTAGGAGGCCTGCCCACGCTACGTCTTCCAGCCCGTGGTCGCCACTCGAGAACTTTCCTGCCCCAACGGCCATCGTCTCTACGAGCTATGTGCCCCGCCCACTGCCACTTGATTTTAGCAATTCTGCGAGCTATGTCGGTTACTTTGGTTCTCCTGCGGATCTCCTCATTTCTGATTCGATCACGCAGGGAAGGGTCTATTATTAATGAACATAAATGCTTACCGTGCATCCATGACTTGCTGGCGGTAAACTATAGCTCAATGGACTAAAATCAGTCGTGTATGGGCCGATTGTCAAATCATTCCAGCTCAACATGCGTAGTGCAGTCTCCTTATACTCCGCCACGTACGAGTTTTTACAGTGGTACTTTATCTTCTGGATCACTTGGTTCGATTTTGATTGGAGCCATTCAATCTGATTCATTGTAACCTTAAAAACATTTATATGTATTAGACTATTTTGACACATTTTTTATTTTTATCAAAAATATTAATCGAGTACCCAATATGAAAATGGTGGCAAGGTTTGTAGGATTGATTTAGATGACTGGTTTCAAATCTGCAGTGATGGGTGATCTATAAAGGATTGCAAATGGCAAATCAGATAGAGATTACTTGCATTGGGTTAAAAATTATCAATTAATTAAGTGCGTGTTATCATAGTACCTATCGAACTGAATCTGTCTGTAATTATTTTTTTATAGCTGAACGGCTTCAGTTAGAGGTTAGATAGCCAGTTCCTCCGTGGCTTAGGATTCCGGGTGAAGCTCGATTCCACCTTCGGCCTGATCGTCACTTACCATCAGGTGAGGTACATGCTAAGAGCTTCCTCGTTGTGGATAAAAAAAAAATAGTGAGAGTTTAATCTTCCAAGTGTTTGTGAACAAACAGTCACATTCGAATAATATTTTGAAAATAATAATATGGCGACGTATTAGGATAATCAATTGAACAACGCTCTTGTCAAATTATAATATTTAAATTTTTTTAACTCACATTATTGTAGAATTTTGTTAAATCAAACGTTGTGTTGCTAAGCCAAAATGGACTTTCTTCAGCCGCATAATTTATAGCTTCTTTATGAGCCACCTCCTCCTTCTTTGGTTTTAGTATAAGACAAGTTCTATTTGTATCTTTTTGACACGTTACTTTAAATTTGTCTTCAGGATAAACCCAAACATCTCCTAAAAAGGGGAATGTATTAAAAGTACATTATTTACCAATCTTAATTTTATTTTTTATTAATTTTACGCTTGTGGATGCGCCAATTTGACCAGTATACATTAGACTGTACGGTAAACGGTAGTCTATGTCCGTGGCTTTATTTAATAAATGCTCACCTGTTAGAGTTTTTTCTTCTTCGTCACCTTCAATAAAGAATACAGTGTTGCAAAGGAATTTTGCGGGATCTTCGGCAGTTCCAATGGAGCTTAATGTGACATCTAAAACACAAAAAAATATAGGTATATAACCTATCTACCAAATATATTTTTTAAATATCTGTATGATCGAAACTTAATTCGAAAATGTATATAAATATTTTCTAATTAAGTTTCGATCAGATATTTAAAAAATATTTGGTAGGTACTTGTTGGGGACGACTCGCCGAGAAGGAGGAAATCGGCGAAATAGTGGCGCGAACGAATGCGTACACCGTTACGCGTAAACTGTAAATGTGTATGTTTTATGTGTTAATTATTGAATATTTAAGGTTTTAACATGTATTTGATGGTCTCTGTAATAATATTAAATAGCTTGATATATAATTTATGGAAATAATAACCGTTTATGTAAGTTACATAAGTAAAGATGGTAAATGATGAATAATTCTTTATAGAAGATGTAATTTATTAAGGACTAAGTTAAATCGTAGTATATAAGGAAAGACGAAACCTATGTACTACTTTTTACATGAAAATAATAAAGAGGACACATATTAATTAAGGAAAACAGATAATTAAGAATAAGAAGATAGGGAATCGCTTAGGAGTGAGCGAGATAGGCATGTGAGCGCTCACGGACGCGTCTGTCTGAGAGGGAGGGTTTGAAAGAGAGATAGCCTACATTCGGGCATGGCGATTGGTGTAGATTATGGGCGATTGCCGCGACTAAACCCTCGCTCTCAGACAAGACATAAGAAGCGCGCCTCGAGCCCAAAAATTTTTTTTTTTATTTTTTTTTATGCTAGACAAGGCAGGTATTTGACCGCAATCGCACCTGGTGTTAAGTGAGATGCAGTCTAGGACATTATTTTATGACAAAACCGATTGAAATCATAATTCATAATTAATTTTCGTCGGTTTTCAAGGAATTGTATAAATATATCATCCACTATGCGCAATATGCGCTAATGTAATTTTGTCTCATATTTACGAATCCAAGACAATAAGTGCCACTTTTGGTCTAAACTGAATAAATATTTTTGATTTTGATTTTGATTTTGAATAAAAACTCTTTAAAAAATGCTAACAAACTATCTTAATAAAAAAAACAATGAGTTTTTGTACCTGAGCTTTTCAGCTATCTAGGTACTTCAATCACCCATCAAACTGAGGGCTTAGTGTGTTTGATGTAAACTCACACTGAGCCCTCTATTACAGAGAACTCACTGTTATTTAACTCAACTGTGTCGCTGTAAACTTCTGAAGTTGCACAGCACAATCTAGGCTAACTCCAGACCAGGCTTATATCGCTTATTTTCTTTGGCCTCTGCAGCTGGACAAAGGGTCCACTGGAATATGGAACTACGGATGACACAATTTGTAGGTATAAACTTGAGTATTGGAAAATAAGTTTTGTACTTTAGGTACAGACGACACGGCACGTCAACGTAACCACTGCGGGTTCTTGTGCAGTTGTAATAT